TGCCCTTTCGACCACACGCTGTGACCTTCGTTTGCTCTCATTTCCTGTCCTTGCTAAGCGAACACAGAGGGAAGACGGACAGGAGTGTGCTCTGGCCTCCCAGGGTACCAGCCACCTTCTTCTTCAGAGTCAGACATAGACACTTTTGCACGATGAGGCCATAGCTTCCAGGTTGCACATCCACCCGTGTGCTTGGAATACCTCACCCCGTCAACACAGATGCCTCTGTCTTTGCTCCTGGCTCCGCTTTCTGCCCAGAACTGCTGGGCCGCGGAGGCCCCCGGAGAGCTGGCTGCCAGCGCGCTCTCCAGCACCTGGACCAGCACCAGAGGAGAGTGCTGTGCCCTCGCCACGCTCAACTCCAGCCTTTGCTGGCACAGGTGACACTGTCCCAGAGAAACCCTGGCACAACGGGGTAGCCAGGGGGTCCAAACCGAGTGCAGACCGAGCCAGGCAGCTTCATCCATAGGTGCTGAAATGTCACCGCCTTTAAGGAACCAGAAGTCTTTCTTTAAATGACATTCTTTACCCAAGCATCCAAGGATTTCTGTGGCCCAGGGTTGGCATCCAAACCATCGCCAGAATAATATAATCCTGTGATTTTACGACAGCAAGGGACCCGCTTGTCATAGTCAGGGTTGCTTTCAACAAACGTCTGCGAGTTGCCCCAGTCTGGTCACCCAGAGAGCCCCTTCAGTGGAATTAGGTGACTTTTCCTGCCATTGAGTTGTGCGTGGAAGGAACATGTGACACTCCCACGCTGTGTATGTAAGTGCTGGTGTGGGAGCCTCCACAGCTGGCTTTGCTCTGTGATACGCAGCCAGCTGTTTGCCAAGGCGGCTGCATGGTGCTGAGCCTGGTTCCTAGAGGCCACAACAAGGAAACACCCAACCAGCACCGAAGGGGTGTGCTCTGAGTGAGTGGTCACCCTTTGCTGTTTTAGGCCATTGACCTTTATGGAAGTCATGTGCTATCACAGCATAATCCACACTGACCTGATGCGTATAGAAATCAGTATCCCTAATTAATTAGTAAACATAGTTAGGGTGGCCGACCAAACTAAAATATATAGCAACGCTTGAGGAACAAAGCGATGCCTGCTGAGCAGACTCTTACTGGAAGCCCGGAGGGTGGCATTCTGTGTTTCCCAGTACATCTTTACCTGAAATAAAGGGGAAGCTTTGCCTCACTTAGTCAGTGCAAGGTCTTTGTGGGAAAGCATGGGACTTGGTTGGAAAGCATGTAAGGAGGAAAGTCCCGAAAAAAGGAGTGGGCTGAAGGTTGCCTGCCCTGTTTCTTGGAATTCCGACTTAGGGGAGTTTGGCTGAAGACAGCAACCCCTAATTGTTCCTTGACCTTTCCAAACAAGTCTGTGCATGTGCAGACCCCTGGTGCTTACTGGAATCCTTATGCTTAACCTTTAGTGTCCTTGCTTAAAGGACACTGTAGACACATGTGTCCCCCAAGATTACTTACCCTACTGATTGTATCTAAAAGATAAACTTTATCTCAAACTGCTGTTACAATAAAAGCCTGAAGAGACAGGCGAATGAGGCTGTCTGGTTCCTTTAGCCAGGCCGTCCCTTAGCCTTCTCTTTCACAGCAAACATTGTGTCAGAGTAATTCATCCATCACTCAGGGTCTGCTGGTCAGCCCCAGCAGGTCTTGGGAAGAGGTTTAAAAGCTGAATACTAGCCGAGTGTGTTGGTTGTTTGGGGGTAGCATGTGACGAGGTACTGAGTCTGATCCCTACCTAGACCCAACCTCTCCTGCCAATCCGTGCTGGACCTGTGAGCACCTCTGCTTTTTTATGCAACTGAAATTTAGGGCATGCTTGTTACCACTGCAAAACCGAGCCTGTCCTGACTGAAATGTAGCCCCGTTGACTTCATTTTTTAAAAGAAAAAGCTGAAAGAGGCTTGGTGAATGCCTGAATGTTCCCCAAGCAATTAAAACCAGTCTGTTTGGTAACTGTGAATCAGTGTGTGTCCTTTCTGGCACCAAAGGGGGTACTCCCCAGAGATGGAGGTTTTTGTCCTTTGACCCCCATCAGAGCTTGTGCTCAAAGAGACCAGAATGGAAGGTCACGTTCAGTATTCCAGTTTAAGGAGGAAGAAGATGAAACAGAAAACCTGATGTCGCCACAGGAAACACAGCCTCAGTAACCCTTCAGAAACAAGCATCTGGAAACGGCAAGGAGAAGTCTGAACTGTTCACGTGACTTCCCAACCAGCACTGCAGGGTGGAGGCGCTATAGACAGAAGCAAGTAAATGGTCAGGGATTAGACATAAACTTCATCCGCGGCAGGCAGCACCTCCGACCCTGCGGTGTTTGAGAGGGTTTGGGCCTCAGCATGCTTTCCTGTCGTATCTCCCACTGGCGAAGCCACAGCAAAGGCTGGAGGTCAGAGGAGCAGGACTCTGGGCTCGGCCGCCCTAGTCTGTGGGTGGGAGTGACTGAGGGCAGACTTTCCATGAGATCAAAGGACTGTTTGGAGGATGTCTGCTGGTCTCTCACACAGAACCCATGTTTCCCAGGAGAATATGAGCAAGGCCTTCGCTGGAATGTGGTCCTGTGCCTCCACGTGCAGGAGTTCTGGGCAGCTTCCCCATCAGCCCCGGAGTTAAACGAATGAGGACTGCACATCCCGTGTCTGCTGGAGGCAGCGTGCACCAGGGGCCATTCATGTGATCACTAGAAACGCCTCCCTTCTTGTCCTTCCCTTCAGAGCAGCCAGTCTTGCAAAGCTTTAAATCCATGATGGCTCTGCCTTTCTGGGATCATTGTTCTGTTTGAGATGCTGATGGAAAATATGAACTCTTTCCCACCAAAAAGGCATATGTATGTGCTTAGATTCAAAAAATGCTCATGGCAGGGATGCCCGAAATTCTTTCTACCTGGGGGAATTGCGTGCCTCAACTCTGTTTTACATACATAAGGAAGGTGCATACATGGTTCTGCACACATACTGTGCATATATACATATTCTTTGTGACTCAACCATGGCAGCAGAACAGCAGGGGGAGTGTGCCTGATAACATGCAGGCAGGGAACTGCCATTTCTGGAGCATTCCCATGACCAGGGGACTATGGAGAACCCATGAATTGGTTCCTTGCCAATTTTTATCTGAATAGAACCTTGGGCTGGGCAATGCTCCCTCAGCACATAAAATAATGTTGTGTGATTGCTTTACTCTCCCACGCTGATAACTCAGGTTTGATTTTCCAGGCAAAGCTGCTCATGTCTCCCTCTATGTGGATGGCCCCCGCTGAGGCTGGAACAACATAGAATTCCAAGACTAACAGGCACTGCAGAGTGATGTGGCCATGCGGAACAGCTGGAGGCTCCGCCCACTCCTCTGCGATTGATCAATATATCGTGACACCTTTGACCCAGGCCCACCCCTCCGACAGGGCTGGATATGTCTTGCTTCATCATAGAAAGTGTTCTCCTGCCCTAACCGGTTTGGCTCAGCGGATAGAGCATCAGCCTGTGGATTCAGGGGTCCCAGGATTGATCCCAGTCAAGGGCATGTACCTTGGTTGTGGGCACATCCCCAGTGGGGAGTGTGCAGGAGGCAGCTGATCGATGTTTCTCTCTCATGGATGTTTCTAACGCTCTACCTCTCTCCCCTCCTCTCTGTAAAAAATCAATAAAATATATTTTAAAAAAGAAGAAGAAAAAAGAAAGTGTTCTCCTGTGATAAACAACAAGAGAGGGCCCTGGCCATACAGAGAAAACATACCTGTCTAATTCATTATTAGAGTTAATATTGGGATTCACATCTGGTGGGAGAAGTATTCAGGGAAAGTAAGATTCCTGGCATTTTTAAGATCCCACATATGAGGAGAGCAGCCCCACAGGTGAGGGGAGCAGCTCACAGGTGAGGGGAGCACCCACAGGTAAGGGGAGCTCTCTTGCCCTCTCTTGCCAAGTGTAGATGGGGAACCTCCACTCAAAGGGGGTGGGGCTCCCATAGTCAGTCAGATTATTGCTTGCATCTCTCATGCCAGTGCCAAGAATAAATCTACGAAACATGGAAGGGTTGGGGAGCTTCTTCTTTCCTATCATTTGAGAAAATGGATCAACATTGCCTCGAAATACAAAAGAAGACTCAACTCCCCCATCTTACTGAGGACTTTAAGGTTCTCTTCATTGGCCTCATTGTACAGGAACGCCAGGAGGTATTGCCAGTCCGTCCCCTCCGGGGAGTCCCCACCTCTGCCCTGTATCTTCTCATCAAACAGCCCATTGCTCTCGCCACAACAATCTCTTTTCTAGTTCCAATCACTGCCTGTATCCAGGACAGGCCGCTTTTCAAAAGGCGAGGCAATAAAACCTTGACTCGCTTCCCTCAGGTTCAGAAAAACATGTCCCGAGTCACGCAAGCCCCAGAGGTCTCGTTAGCTGCCAGAAGTCCTGGCCATTGTGAAGCTGAACTCTGTGTCCATCGCCACATCAAGTGGCGAGAACAATGCCCCTGCAGCTGCCGACTCAGACACACCCCAGGGTTTGTGTTGTTCAAAAATAGTAAAGGAAAAAGGCTGGGTGCAGTGTAAGTCATCAAGGGGAAGGGAAGTTCGGGAAGGAGCCGGCATTAGGATTGAGCAGGGGCCTCATACAGTTTGTAAATTACTCAACCATGTTATGTGCTTAAATGAGCTTCAAAAATGGTCATCAGTTGATAATTTGCACTGCCAGCCTCCCACTTCCGCCGAGTCTCTCTTTTCTAACCTCATCCACTCCCTTCTCCTTGGTCTTTAACCTCTTCCTCTAACCCAGCAGTGAAACCTATGAGTTCTTTGAATTATTTCATTTCTCCGGGACAGCAGAGGGCCATTCAGTAAATGTTTCCTAAGTGCGTCCTGTTTTGTATTCCCCCCAGATTTCAAGAAAACTAAATGAAAAGAAAATTAAAAACACTTTAGAATAGGAATCTTTGTTTAGGATATTCCATACACAGGCAGGTGGTGATAAGTATGACATCAATTTTGTTAATTTCAGATAAATTGGTAAATTATTTTTTATTTACTAGAGTATGTTAACACAATCAGTTTTTGTTTTATTATTTCAAGAGCTTCTAAAATTAGCTTTCAGAAAGCGAGGCACTGACTTTCAGATTCCAAGACGTGTTCCTAGAAGTTGGGCGGCCTGGTTCTTACTGTCCATGAGAGCATGTCCAAACCTATAGGAAAAGTTTTTGAGTTTATTTGAGCCAAACTTTTGAAGACATGCCCTGAAACAAGACCTTGATGAATGGAGCAAATGCTCAGAGAAGGGCATTTTTTGCAACCTCATTTCATATGTTTGGAGTCAAAGGGGAAAAAAGGAAGGTGCATGGAATCCATTGCTGGTAGGTTGCGGAGGCAGGGGAAGCAAAGGGGGAAATCTCTAGGATCAGATGAAAAGCAAGATGGAGAGACACACACTCCCTTCGCTTTGGTGAGTGCAGGAGAGGTCACAGTGAGCGTCCCAGCACCTGGAGGTGGGTGGTGTGTGGGAACAGGAGCAACAGGGCGCTGCCCTGGCGCCTGTCTGCGCCCCAGGAGTCTGGAGAAGAAACAACTGACCTTTCAAAGGCTCGTTATCTTAGATGTGGAAGCACCGGCACAGGCTCCCTTCAGGTAAAGCTGACCTTCACGGGGGAAGCGGCAGGCCAGGACGCGACCTGCCCAGGGAGGAATCTGTGGTCAGGTCAGACCGTCCTGAGTGGTTACTTGCGGTCACTGAGCCATCAGGGTTATTCCATGCCTTTCATCGCATTCGTTGCTGTTTGTTTAGGCTCCTCTGCATTTATTGCGGGATGTACTAATGGAATGGATTTATTTTTCTGTCTGATTTCCATTTTCCCCATCACATCCATTTATAATAATTTTTGATGGAATTCCTGGCAGCACAATTTTAAAGACATGTATTAGGGTGTTTTTTTTAATGAATTTCTTCCAGCAGCATTATGTGACTTCTGCAAAAAATTCATTGATTGTCGCTAAGAGCTTTGGACAGAGCCTATGGGTGAGTAGTTCCAGACATAACGCCACCTACTCATGTTTTAGCACCAAGAGAAGGAGGTGTTGTCTTTTCTCAGAGTAGATTCTTGTCACTTGACCAGTTCAAACGTCCCTTACTTCTTTTCCTCAGAGAGTGGGTGCCCATGTGACAAGGTCGACTGTAAGTGTGCTAAGTATGAATGCCGGGGGCTCAAAAGCGGATCAGCCAGTTTACCTTGAAAGTATAGCCTAAATCCTCAACTGGAAAAGGGACATCCAGCGGGGCCTTGGGGCTCCAGGACCCTCTCTCTGCCGGCATCTGAGGTAACTCTTCCGCGCTGTAGAAGCTGCTTGAACAATTTGTCTCTTTCTCCTCCCCCCTCCACTCCCTAAGTGAGAACTCTTGCCAAGGGGGTGGGGTTTTCTCAGAATCAGAATGTGGGCTCTGTTCCATTCCCTGTTGTTTACTCTGCCCATTGGATCCCCAAGAGTTCCCAGAAAACCAAGAAGCTAAGACTAAGGGAATTCAGGAAAGAAAAAAGAGCTCTGAGGAGCTGGCCATGAGCAGACCCAGCTTCGGAATGAAACTGTCTGGGGCCGACTCACCAGGATGGTCCCGGGGTCACTGGACCGCTCTAGTCTATGCGTTTAGTCCCATACAGTTGGGCTATTCCCACAGGAAGTGGGTGGAGGTGAGCGCAGTGAGATACAGCCTGGAGAGAACGCTGTGGATGAGAGGAGGCAAGAGAAGCATTTACTACGTCCCTCCTCCTCGGGGCACGGGGCTGGAGAACCTGAAGAAGCTGATGTGTGCATTTCTTCACTTGTAGCGTTGAGGCACACAGATTATTTGCATAAAACTGATCCAGTCCCAGATCTAATCTGTCTTTGGAGAGAAACAACTGAGAAGGTCTTTCAATCAGGCATTTTCCCATAGAAATATCTGATGCAACCCCAAGGAGGTGGGCACAGCTGCCTTACTTACTACAAGGAGTAAACCATGCTGAGGACCGTGAGTAAATGACTAAATTTAGGGGTGTCGAGGAAGTAACTTCAGGTGAACAAAAAAATCAAGCAAGATTCTTCAGTGCTTGGCTTGTGGAAATATAAAAAGCAATTTATTTTAGGATAGAATTTGGAGAAATTCTAGGGAAAAGTTGGAGGTGGCTCTCTCTAAAACAGTCAACCAAAAATGTAACCAATGAAAATGATTTGTGAACATGGGATTTAGAAGTTGTGGTTTGTTTGTTTTTTTGTTAACCCTCACCCAAAGATACATTTTTTCCATTGATTTTTAGAGAGAGTGGAAGGGGGGGTTAAGAGAGGAGAAAGAGAGAGAGAGAGAGAAAGAGAGAGAGAAAGAGAGAGAGAGAGAGAGAGAACATGATGTGAGAGAGACACATAGATTAGTTGCCTGCCAAAAATGCCCTGACCCGGCCAGGGATCAAACTTGCAACCCAGGTAAGTGCCTTTGACTAGGAATGGAACCCATGACCCTTTGGTGCATGGACCAACACTCTAACCACTGAGCAACACTGGCTAGGGCATACCTCGTTTTTAAATTATGTTGGAAAAAGGAAGTGATATTTTAATAATTGGGGCCCTCAGAAGGGTAAGTGACAATTAGCTAATAAAATTGCAATGCATTGTTAGCACTGAGGGTCATTTGTCCTCTGACGGTCCAGACTGTTGTCTGTGAGCAGGGAGGGTCACGGTTCTCTCAGGGGCCTGGCCCGACCACAGAGCCATCCAACTCCCTTTGCCGTGGTTGCTGGCTGACCCGCCCACTAGAAACCTTGATTTGCGTTCTGAGCAACTGGATAAATTAATCTCCTTCCATGAGGATACCTTTAAAAAAATGGTTCCTAGTGCTGCTGGTGGAAAATGGGTTCTTCCACAGGATTGTGAGAAAAGTATCTGAAGGGCCCACGCACAGGAGACTGGAGCGGCAGAATTTATTCGAGATGCAAAATCAGAGGAGTTCCCCTTCTGGGTCCCCAGTGTCCCGTGTCTGTCCATCCACCATAGAAAAGGCCAACCTTGTCTGCATCAAGGCCAAACCAAAGGCCAGTGTCCAGAGCTTCTGCTTCATGTTAAAGCTCAGTCCTTTGGAACCCACGTGATCTGCCGCAGGCCCAGGTGGCTGCTCTGAGGTGCGAAAGTGTATGGATGAACAGATGAGTACAGGCCAGAGACAGACAGACAGAGAAAAAATGCTTTGTCCCAGGGGTTATATTTTCCTGGGCTTGGGGAGAATCAGGAGCCTTTTAAAAATAACCAATGAACGTCCCAGGCTTTCCAAAGCCTGTTGGGTCCACCCTGACTAGCCCGTTGTTTCGAGGTGAGATTGACTGGCCTCTAGGTCAAGGACTGCCCCTGTGTCATTTTGGCTTCTATTGAGTATGTGCTTTCCTCCTCTCCCCCTGACAATCCAGTGCCAGCAGGGGGAAGGGAAGGCTGTTGATTGTTGGCGGGCAATGCCTGGACCCCTGGAGTGTGTATGAAGCTTTAGTTTCCTGGTGAAACAAGCAGGTTGTTGGACTCCCTTTGGTCCTTTTTTTTCATTAATATCCAGCTAACTACAGTAACATTAGGTAACATTTGTCAAAATATAGTATAGTCCAGTGATGGCAAACCTTTTGAGCTCGGCGTACCAGCATTTTGAAAAACCTTAACTTAACTCTGGTGCCGTGTCACATATAGAAATTTTTTGATATTTGCAACCATAGTAAAACAAAGGCTTGTATTTTTGATATTTATTTTATATATTTAAATGCCATTTAACAAAGAAAAATCAACCCAAAAAATGAGTTTGCGTGTCACCTCTGACACACGTGTCATAGGTTTGCCATCACTGGTATAGTCCTTTTCTTTTTAAAGCAGTGTTATTAAAAAAAATCATATATACAAAAATATCATATAGACTTATAGATATTGTTTAAATAATAAATACTTCTTTAAAAAATTACCCACCACACAGGTTAGAATCCCATATATATTTTTTTAAATACTCTTTATTGATTTTTTACAGAGAGGAAGGGAGAGGGATAGAGTCAGAAACATTGATGAGAGAGAAACATCCATCAGCTGTCTCCTGCACAACCCCCACTGGGGATATACCCGCAACCAAGGTACATGCCCTTGACTGGAATTGAACCTGGGACCCTTGAGTCCGCAGGCCAATGCTCTATCCACTGAGCCAAACTGGTCAGGGCTAGAATCCCATAATTACATCTGCTCTCATCCCAACCACTCCAGAGATGACCACCATCCTGTGTTTGCACCACCTCTTACCTTTCTTTATAGTTTTCTCACTTCCATATCTACCTCTAACTCACCTAGTCCACACTCTGTAGACTATGTATTCTTCCGTGACTGCTTCTTGTGCTCAGTGCATTTTTAAAAAATATTTTTATTGGTTTCAGAGAGGAAGGGAGAGGGAGAGAGATAGAAACATCAATGATGAGAGAGAATCATTGATTGGCTGCCTTCTGCATGCTCCCTACTGGGGATCAAGCTCGAAACCCTGACGTGCCCTGACCAGGAATCAAACTGTGACCTCCCGGTCTATAGGTCAACATCAACCATTGAGCCACGCCGGCTCGGCACAAGATGCATTTTTTAGAGTTCTCCATGTTACGTGGTGCATGTAACCGAGGTTATTCCAGTTCACTGCTGTGTATCTGCCATGATATGACTGTAACCTAAGTTATCCTGGCTATAGGGACAGGTGTTTGGTTTGCTTCCAGGTGTTTAGTTAACAAGCAATGCTATTGTGAACATTAATATGTGTGCCTTCCTCTGCACATGTGCAAGAGTTCCTTTGAGGAATATGTCTAGGAATTGGATTTCTGGGTCCAAGAGTTCGAATTTACTAGGAAAGGCCAAATTTTTTGAAAAGTTTTATCAGTGTACCCTTCCCCCAGCACAGGTGAACACCTCTATTGTTTCATATCTGTAGAAACACCAGATATTATCTGGCCTTCTAATTTTGCCAAGTTGGTGGATGTGAAATGGTTTAGTTTGCATTTCTATGACTAATGAGGTAGGCATCTCTTCCTATTTATACAGGCCAGACTAGAGAACCCAGAAAACAGACCCGCACACGTGCAGAAACCTGGCTTCGGACAGAAAGAGCATGGCATATCCGTGAGGCAAGCATGGACTGTAATAATTGATTCTCTTTGTGGGATGAGCAAACAAACAAATAGAATTCCTACCTTACATCCTGCACAAAATCTTAATTTCAAGTGGATTAAAGACACAAACATAAGAAAAAACTACAGATGGCCCTCAACTTAGAATTTTCAACTTCATAATGGTGCAAAATTGATATGTATTCAGTAGAAGCCGTGCTTCTAATTTTAAATATTGATCTTTCCACGGACTAGGATTTGTGGTAGATACTCCGTCATGATGCTGGGCAGCCTCTTAGAGACGCAGCTCCCCATCAGCCCCACAATCATGAGGGTCAACACCCAATATTCTACAGTGTAGTCACTTGTTATGTGATTTACCAACTGTGGGCTAATTCAGGTGCTCTGAGCACATTTAAGGCCAGATAGGCTAAGTTATGATGTTCAGTAGGTAAGGAGTATTAATTACATTTTCAACTTATCAATATTTTCAATTTACAATGGGTTTATCAGGACATAACCCCATTATATGTTGAGGGGCATCTGTATAAAACTTTTAGATGATAATTAAAATGCCTTTATTATTATACTCTTAAATCTTAAAGGATTTCTTTAAGGAGACTCCAGAAACACAAATATTATCAAAAAAATTAAAAAAAAACTTTTATTGTTGAGAATATTACAGATGTCTCCTTTTATCCCTTCATTGCCCCCCTCTACCCAGTTCCTGCCCCACCCCAGGCCTTTACCACCCTATTGTCTGTGTCCATGGGTAATACATATATGCATATAAATTCTTTCGTTCATGTCTTCCCAGTCCCCTCCCCACTTCCCTCTGAGATTTGTGAGTCTGTTCCATGTTTCCAGGCCTCTACTTCTGTTTTACTCATCAGTTTATTTGGTTCATTAGATTCCTTGTTCATTTATTTTGGTCTTTAGAATCAATTGTTGATAAATATGCATGTATTGCCTTTTTATTGTTCATATTTTTAATCTTCTATTTCTTCTTCTTAAAGAAGGCTCTTCAACATTTCATGTAACACTGGTTTGGTGCTGATGAACTCCTTTACCTTTTCCTTGTCTGTGAAGCTCTTTATCTGACATTCAATTCTAAATGATAGCTTTGTTGGGTAGAGTAATCTTGGTTATAGGTCTTTGCTTTTTATCACTTTGAATATTTCTTGCCACTCCTTCAGGCCTGCAAAGTTTCTGTTGAGAAATCAGCTGACAGTTGTATGGGTGCTCCATTGTAGGCAACTAACTGCTTTGCTCTTGCTGCTTTTAAGATTCTCTCTTTGTCTTTAACATTTGGCATTTTAATTTTGATGTGTCTTGGTGTGGTCCTCCGGGTTCATCTTGTTTTGGACTCTGTTCTTCCTGGACTTGTATGTCTATTTCTTTCACCAGGTAAGAGAAGTTTTCTCTCATTATTTTTTCAAATAGGTTTTCAATTTCTTGTTCCCTCTCTTCTATGTCCGGTACTCCAATGATACTAATATTGATGGGCTTGAAGTTGTCCCAGAGGCTCCTTATATTATTTTCATATTTTTGGATTCTTTTTTATTTCTGCTGTTCTGATTGGGTGTTTTTTGCTTCCTTATATTCCAAATTCTTGATTTTATTTTTGGCATCTTCTACTCTACTGTTGATCCCCTGTAAATTATTCTTTATTTTAGTTAGTGTGTGCTTCATTTCTGGTTGGTCCTTTTTTATGTTGTTGATGTTCTCACTAATTTTCTTGAAATTCTCACT